AGAACCGCTGCATTAGCCAGCTTTCGTCTTGAATTTCCAGAGGCTACACTATTACTGATAAATTATTTTATAATTTCATTACACTTAATTAACTTTCAGTTAGTAAGTAATCCATACTAATTATCTTGTACCTCCGTAATCGGATAAGTTTGTAACCGACTCTAACAAAACTTTATTAGGTATAGGTTCCGATCCCTTAGTTCCTATAGTTAACATTATTTTTAGGTCATACATATTTTATTTTTAATATTGTCATTTGTTTCTTTCTTAATTGTTTTGTTACGTGTCTTATATTTTAAGATTGCAATCAAGCCTGTCTACCTCATATTGATAGTTAAGTTATGGTGATAAGTTATAGCAAATCGTGCATTGCTTGGTACTAATCGGAGTACGTTGATGCAGTCAGAGTGGAGACCGAACACAGTCCTTAAAGTAACTTCTTTGGAATTCCCAGAGATCACCTACCACCTGTAAAATAACCTACCATCAGTCCTACTTAACCACCTTTTACTTATCACTTCATCTGCTGTCTTCCTACCACTGTACTTTCTACCATTATCTACTCACCAGAATCTGTAAAAAGCATTACTGTCCCTTCACTTCTGCTCCTGGACCCTATGACACCATCAAGGATAGTATCGTTGCTATACTACTCTATTCTACTACAGATGACCATTGCTTCGACCGTGATTTTCCCCTTTTTACCTTTATCTACAACTGTAGAATAAATATAAAAAATACCTCGAATTTAATTAATATCTTGAGATCTGTCAGTCAGTTTACATTACTTTAATCCTATTTACAAAATAGCAGGAGGAATTCCCGTATCACGATCAACTTTGATATTTTTATTTTTTGGCCAAAGTAGTATTTTGTAATTATTTTACAAAATGTTTAAGCCATAAAAAACGAATGTATCTAAACTATTTAATGTTGTTACGTCTCGGGATAGGGTTCGAAATTATATGCCAGTTTTGTTTCGAGAGCGTTTGTGACAATATTTATTGTAAACACGTAATAGTAACCTAAAAACCGCGCTATCATTTCACCCTTTAGTTAATACGAGTCTTGACAATGTTGTCAAGTACAAGTACCTCCGAAATAGATATTACCCTTTTTTCGATTTGCCGAGGGATCGTTCAAAGAAATATAGTGTGTTTTCGTGCCCTGCTGGCAAAGAAATTCCGCTGACAATTTGAAGCGATTTTTCGCTGGAATTGATAGCCCGTTAGTCGAGTAATGACAAATAGAATCTCTTTATGTGAAACGTTTGTGGAACCATGCGATCTCCTGCACATATAACAACATAGTCGCGAAACGTCATGCAAGATAAGCCTCTGATTACATTCAGACATGATTACATCATACAATCCAAACAAATCCTTAGACATATAGACGGTCATGTCTTCTGTTGTGCTCAGTGTTGCCAGATCTTTAACCCTAATTTTCATTGCCAAATTCCGTATGAAATCCGTATAGGAAGTTTGTAATCAAATCCTTAAGAAATCCTTATAAAAATTTTAACCTATCTTTACCTAACATTTAGAGCACTTCATGAACGATACTTGTGAGAAATTTGTAATGAAAAAAAAGACTTGAAAAAAATAAACGTTATGTGTATTCTATCTTTAGTAATGTTTATAAGAAGTAGTCAATATTTTTTATTGAAATTATTAAATAAAGACGATTTCCACATAAATACTGAGGCATTTTTTAATATCAAATTATAGGCTATAAAATCGCTTCCTTGTTTATATGATACTAAATAATGCCTTAGTATTAGAAAAAAAAACAATTTTAAAATACAATTCATAACTAAAAAAAAAAAAATTTCACTATATCTATTTCAAACTTCTTCTTTCTCTCATTGTCACGTCCAACCATAATGTTTCAAGGGGACTCCTTAGAGCCATAATCTGTACTACACCAGTGTTTCTGCCTGAGTTTTGCAAAATTCGCTAAATAATAACAATACGTTGGTATATGCATGATCAATGAATGTTTAGTTTTATTTTTTCGTTTTTTCACAAATATTAATAAATTACTCTCTTTGCGTTTAAGTGTTTAAATTCCGCATGGATACGGATAAATCCGTATATAAGGCAACATGTGTTGTGCTATTCTGTAACAACAAACTCTTTCATCACCGCGCAATTCGGGCTACGTGCCGAATGCATTATTGACTTGCACCATTAATGGTGCAGCTGAAACTGATTGGTTTCGTTTGCACCATTAATATGTATTAATTTTTCACTCCTCGTCAAAAACAAATAAACCCCAAATTCTCGATTGTTTGCAATAAAAGTTTCTCACTAGAACAAATTTTTAATTATTTCGTAATTACCATTACGAAAATTTGCCCTAGCAAGTTTTTTTTTTACAGCTAGGTAGGCAAATGATTCTTCCCCACCTCCAGAGGTCCTAGTGCCTTACAAGCAGCCATATTTCTGATTGAATAAACGCTTACGCTGACTGTAAAGAAAAAAAAATAGGCAATAAAAATAATATGTGTAAAAAAACCTGTGTAAAGTCTGGTACATTGTTATGGGAATAAATATTAGTATTAAGAGCACAAATATTATATTGTTCTCGAAATGATGTGGTTGTAATTATTTGTACTTTTTTATTATTTGCATCGGAAGTATACAATATTCCTAAGGAATGCGTTCACAAAAAAAGATTTTTTAATAAATTGTAAAAGTTATATAATCAGTTAAAATTTAGGTATAATAAGTTAAATGAAAATGGAAAGTAGATTGTTTTGTACTACATTTTCAAGACAAAAACTTTCACACAGTTTCAATCAATTTGTTAATTTATTAAAATGTTCGTTGTACCTTTAAAGGGGAGCGTCTCAAATTTAGATGTAAATTAATTTCAAGTAAAGCACAAAACATAAATGAATTGAAACTTCACTCAGCTTAATTGCGTTACTTTGAGTTTAATATTATTTAAATAATGTAATAATTTCTTATTTTGTATATTATAATATTCCTGGGTTGCTCCAAAGTATAATTTGTACGGAAATGGATTGAATATTTATACACCCCAGTTAGTTATCGTGCGAGTAATTCACAAATTATCTATCATTATTCTTACCACTATAGCATCGTGATTATAAAAAAAACACAGCTGACCCAACGTACTTAGTACCGTCATTAAATAGGGGTTTATGGTAGAAACGTGAAAGGGTAGTAATTTTGGCTTGTAGGACTTTTAAACGCCAAATCATAAAATAAATCCCAAAGGCCCTATCTCCCTATTTCATCCATAGCGAAGGTCTGTGCCCCAGCAGTGGGGACATTAATAGGCTGATGATGATGATTATGAATGGATAGAATTCCTAGAAATTACAATACAATACAATACAATACACAATACTTTATTGAAAACACCACAACACAGAACAGAAATGAGGGACAATACAATTGTAAAAAAAAAAGAGTGCTTCAATGGGCGGTCTTATCGCTAAAAGCGATTTCTTCCAGACAACCTTTTAATTACTATAATGATCGGCTGGTAGCTGTCACTTTTATTTCAAAATATTCATTTATTAAAACTTAATGAAGAGTGATTTTAATTTTACTTTTTAACCGACTTAACAATAAACTTAGCAATTAATAATATCAGTTCGATAAGCTACCGAATGTTTAAAATTTATTACAATAATGTTATAATGTACCTTATTTTAACTAACGAACTTTAATCGTAATAAATAATGAATGTTTTTGAATTGAATAAAAAAACTATTTTAAATCTAAAATAATGGTACAGTTTTATTAAATCAAGGAAAACTCTTAAAATCATTAATAATAAGGTCCTTTCTAGACTGGGAATCAAACTCGGGCCGCCCGCGTAGCAGGTGAACTTACCACTTAACCCCCGGTGTTTGTTGTTAAGGTCAGATTTTTTTAATAACAATTAAAAATTTAATGCGACTTGCTAAAGATGAACGAAAAAAATGTGTGATGATGTTATGTTTGTTATGTTATGATTGTTAAACACAAATTTAACATAGTAACTTATTAGTAAATTGTGAAATGTATGAAAATTGTAAGTTGATATATTTTTCTAATAAAGTATACATTTTGTTCTTATTAATCTCCCAGGCATGCCAGTATCGCCTTTGATGGTCAAGAACAAGATCATTGTCTGGACCTAAACAAAGCGCTATTGTAGTATATCGGCTTATTGTTTATAAGGTAGGTAAATACTAAATATCAAAATTATGTAAATCCTTAGCCCCCTTATTAGTAAACTTAGGCCCGTATGATAGAAAGATTCTCATTGATTAATCTAGTCTTGAGCATAGTTAGTAAGGGATGTCGCTATATATAGCACATAGCGATATCCCTTTCTAACTGCACTCAAGTAAAGATCAACATTTAGTTGTCATTCTGTAATACGGACCTTAGACTTGTTACGCCTTCTTTTGTTCATGTCACTCAAATGACATTTGTCATTGAATAGACAGAGACAAAACATGGAGCAACTAATCCATGCGTAGTCTTCGTTAATTAATACGGGAGTAGAGGTTTTAATCTAAGTGTATAATAGATTTTATTTGACGTCTGCTAATCTACCGTAAGTGTGCGAATTGCGAAACTAAAAGGTTTTATAAAACTTATTAAAATCAGATACTTTTTCGACAAGTCAAAACCAAAACAATGTATTTATTATGTAGGTAGGATGGTATTGCATTCAACACGTGACTAATGACTCGTTCGTCCGTACGTTAACAACAAAACAACTACTTCATCACGGTAATATTACCGTGACTTCATTATCTTAATGTGTTGTTTATAATAATATTAAAATTCCCGGATGAGTGATTTAAACGTCATAGAAATTTTACCATTAGGCCACTAGCTAAATGTGTTTTACTTTTTACCAGATCGTAATGTCTACTGTTACTGAGCACCAACTGAGTACACATTCTACTTTTTTCGTTCTTATCAACTGATAAGGTATATCAATACATTAGTGTTTCATACTCGCCAAGACAATCGGTAGGCAGTGGAAACAATTCAATTGTATTATTTAGTTCTCGTAGGTCAATCAATGTCAGTGCCCGAAGAAAATTAAATGTTCACAGTCTAAATTTTCTATCTCTCTAAGCGGAAAGTGGAATTGAGTTAGTGTTTCTAGAAAAATGTCTTCAGATATAGTGAAAAGTTTGGAAAACATAGAGAATAAAGTGTTTTTGGTGACGGGAGGGGCTGCCGGCATAGGCGCTGGTATAGTTAGGGCTCTTTTATTGGAGAATGCTCGAGTAAGTATAATATCTAAGTATGCATATTGAAACTAGTTCATGTTTTTGCATGGTTTTTGAGAATCAAATATCCTTGATTGTAACATTTATTCGTTCATATTAAATTGGATTTCAAAAGGTACCTATACGCAAAAAGCGACGTTGATGTCTAGCAGATTAGCATTAGTATTGTATATTTTGTGGCGTTAGTTTAAGTAAGGCTACTTAAACTAACGCCACAAAATATACAATACTTACCATACATATCGGGCCATATGAACAATTGCCACTTTTTATATAAAAAAAAATGTTATAAAAGCTTTAGCTTGTCAGTCTAATGGCAACAATGTTTTCAAAAACCATTTTCAAAAACCATCCTGTCCGTCCAATATCAATCAAGTTAATTTTTTTTTTCTAATCCTAGTCTGGCGTGATGTATATTGGTTTTATTGATATCATAAAATTTGATAAAACTTAGATTTGTTTTTGATATCTTAGATAAACGATAAATATATGTTTAAAAATAGCACGGTGCATTTTAGTAATCAAACAAAAGTTATATCTAGAAGTCAGATATACTCGTGTATCTATGGAATACTAGCGGTCGCCCGTGACTTCGCCCTCGTTATCTTTAGTTTTTTGTGAATCTTACAGGAATCTATCGTTTTGACGTGACAACGTCTTAAATTAGGTTGCGGCTGGGAGTCACTTATGAAAAAGTGTAACGCTCGGTAACGTTACGATGAGTCTCTCGTGTTAAGTTTAAGTTTACATGTACAATGTTTTAGTAAACAAAATATATTTCTATAGTTAAAATTTGTGCAATTCTTATTTTCATTCAATTCCTTGTTCCTATTGTGCAATTTAATTATATTCATATCAATAAATATTCTACCGAGAAAAAGACGTTGTCACGTAAAATCTTCGCCCGTAAAACCGACTTTACAGGCAACCATTTTTTTCAGGGATAAAAAGTATCCTATGTCTTACTCAATCCAGGCCATAAACTAGACGCGTACCAAATTTCGTCTAAATCCATTCAGTAGTTTTTGCATTTTGCGGGTTGATCTCAGATTTTTAGGTCGCAGTGTGACTAACCCACATTGAATCGCAAAATGACAACATATCATTTCATCTACATCTTTAATTGACTACAGTCATCGCATTATGCCTAAGATCGCAAAATGACTTGATCTTTATTTGTCCACATCAAATAATGACTAGATGTTAAAATGACTGCATCTTTATTTGACCAGTACACTTAGCACGAACCTATATAGAATTCAAATAGTTTGTGAGTGCGAAATGTTTTTGCCAAATTTTGTATGGAAACTTGAACAGCAGCGCCATTACGGACGTAACGAGAACTAAGAATCATTACACATTTGACAATGACATGTACTTGCACGAATGTTACGAATTCGATATTGGTTCGTGCTACGGGCACTGATCTCACAATTACTAGGTCGCAAAATGACTAGATACCTTATTTGTCTAGTTTGTGTTTTGATACTTAAATGAATAAGCATCAGTTACTTGCGTAATTGAATAACAAACATACAAACTTTCTCATTTATAATATTGGTAGGAGTACGATTGGGAGATATACCGCCACTTATGCTTAAATTGGGGCAACCGTCTGGAGTAATAACCTCCACCTTACAGAAGCTAATAAAACAGAAAATTAACAGTGCAATAACACTACCTCTTGGTGGTTATTTTTCTGTAGATACTTAAGATTCCAGAGCTCCACAGGGTAAGGGTCAGGGTAGGTAACAACGTATATATATGATACTGTAGTATCGCAAGCGTCTAAATATTGATCATAACAACCGCATCTAGCAGGCCATAATCTGGTTTCCCACCTTTTTAGATTAAAAAATATTCGGGCAATAAGTATATATCAACATCAATATGCTCTCATTGTTACCAATACCGCTTTTTCCATGGTACATCCGGCTGGATACTTTAGAAAATGAATATACACTTTTTTATAAAACAACTTTTTTCACATTTCAGTACGTCGCTTTCCTCGATATCGCAGAGAAAGAAGGTTCGCATCTGGAGAAGGAACTTCTAGGCATGTTCGGTGCGCTGCGAGCAAAGTTCATAAAGTGTGACATAACGGACGAAACCCAACTGAATGCCGCGTACGAACAAGTGTTCGAGAAGTATAGGAGGCTGGACGTGGTTATAAACAACGCGGGTGTCCTGGCTGCTGATGATAATGATTATAAGAGAATTGTGGATGTGAATCTGGTAAGTACCTATTTGTTTTTAGGAAGTTCATAAAGTGTGATCTACCTAATGAGTCCCAACTGAATGCCGCGTACGAACAAGTCTTCGAGAAGTATAGGAGGCTGGATATGGTTATAAACAATGCGGGCGTCCTGTGTGCTGATGATAATTATTATAAGAGAATAGTGGATGTGAATCTGGCAAGTCATTGTTTTGAGGAAGTTCATAAAGTGTGATCTATCTAATGAGTCCCAACTGAGTGCCGGGTAGGAACAAGTCTTCGAGAAGTATAGGAGGCTGGACATGGTGATAAACTACGCGGGCGTCCTGTGTGCTGATTATAATGATTATAAGATAATTGTGGATGTGAATCTGGGAAATCCTTATTTTGTGGAAGGTCATAAAGTGTGACCTTTCGAATGTATCCCAACTGAGTGCCGCGTACAAACAAGTGTTCGAGAAGTTTAGGAGGCTGGACATGGTTATAAACAACGCGGGCGACCTGATTGCTGATGATAATGATTATAAGAGAATTGTGGATGTGATTCTGGTAAGTACCTATTTGTTTTGAGGAAGTTCATAAAGTGTGATCTATAGAATGAGTCCCAACTAAGTGCCGCATACGAATAAGACTTCGAGGAGTATAGGAGGCAAAACGTGGTAATAAGCAACGCGGGCGTCCTTGGTGCTGATGGTAATGATTAGAAGAGAATTGTGGATGTGAATCTGGGAAATCCTTGTTTTGAGGAAGTTAAAAAAGTGTGCCATATCGAATTAGTCCCAACTGAGTGCTGCGTATGAACAAGTGTTAAAGAAGTATTGGAGGCTTGACGTGGTGATAATCAACGCGACCGTCCTGAGTGCTTGAGATACTATGATTGAGATGATAATGGTTATAAGAAATTTTTTGATATGAATTTGGTAGGTATTTGTTTTAGACTCGGAAAGTTATTCGAGCCATCACTTAGAGCCAACATGCCTTGTCTAGGTTTACTTTTATTCGCGTCTCTTTTATTTGATATCTGGGAAATATATTGGATTATGTCACATTGGTGAATGGAATTGCACTAGGAAATATCTATTGAAATGAAATGAAATGAAATGAAATGAAATGAAATGAAATGAAATGAAATGAAATGAAATGAAATGAAATGAAATGAAATGAAATGAAATGAAATGAAATGAAAAGTCATTTATTCAGTCTAGGCTGTTACAAGCACTTGTGAAGGTCAAGAAGCTACGCCATCGGTTCGCAAAACTACGGCGGGAGACCTTGTACTGAGAAGAACCGGCAAGAAACTCAGCAAGGGCTGTTTTTTTCTCCCTGTATTGATATATACAGAGTCGTCAAGTTGAAAAATGATTTCAGAGATACATCTGAAGTCACCTTCCATTACATTATTAAGGATATAGATATATAGTTACAATAAATTTTATATTTAGTATATAGGAAGCGGCATTAGATAGGTACCATATTACTGTTTCAAAAACTGACTCATACCCATCAAATAACAAATTACAAGAAACACTATGTCCATGCATTTCGATCATTTAGATAATCATTAACTTTATAATAGCCCTTATTCATAAGAGTATTCTTAATCTGAGATTTAAATTTGGTTAGTGGAAGCTCAATCAGATCTTGGGGAACTTTGTTAAACAATGCAATACTACATCCCAGAAATGAACCTCTTGATTTTTGGAGTCTGAAACATGGAACGGCAAGTTTGTTATTATATCTCGTGTTAAAGTTATGGGTTTGACTTTTTTTTGAAAATGCGTCATAGTTTTTTCTTACATATACTAAATTTTCATAAATGTATTGCGATGCCAGTGTTAGAATATTAATTTCTTTAAATTTTTCTCTAAGAGATTCTCTTGCCTTTAAATTATATATGGCGCGAACAGCTCTCTTTTGCAGTACGAAAATACTTTCTATATTAGCAGCTGAGCCCCACAACAAAAGGCCATATGACATAACGCTATGAAAGTAACCAAAGTAAACCAATCTTGCCGTTTCCACATCAGTTAGAAGTCTTATTTTTTTAACAGCAAAAGCCGCAGAGCTCAGTCTACTTGATAAGGCATCAATATGAGGATCCCATTGCAAATGCGAGTCTAAAGTAATACCCAGAAACTTTGTAGAATCCACTAACTCTACAGGCTGGTCATTTATTTTTAAACTAGTATTAACCTGCCTCACATTAGGTAAAGTAAACTTAACACATTTTGTTTTACTAGAGTTTAGTTTTAAATTATTTACCGTAAACCAGTGAAGGACTTCAGAGAGAGCACAATTTACTTCGTCATAACAATCATTTCCTCTCCTAGCTTTAAACACTAAAGAGGTGTCATCAGCAAATAGTACTGTCTCACACAAATCTCTTGTAAAGTGAGGAAGGTCATTAATATAAATAAGGAAAAGCAATGGGCCCAATATTGAACCCTGGGGCACGCCCATAGAAATGGGTGCTCCTGTAGACTCAGCTTGATTTATAACCACTTTCTGAATCCTAGCAGAAAGATAAGACTGTATCAGACTTAGTGAAATATTTGATACACCATAATGCTTCATTTTATTTAACAATGTTTCATGGCTAACGCAGTCAAATGCCTTAGATAAATCGCAAAAAATGCCAATAGCATCGTGCTTACTCTCCCATATATCAAAGATGTGTTTGAGAAGTGCAGTTCCAGCATCAGTAGTACTTTTGCCTCTAGTGAAACCAAACTGTTTTAAATGAAATAGCTTATTTATAGAAAAGTGTGCTAGTAATTGGTTATAAATTATTTTCTCAAATACTTTACTTAGCGCTGGTAATACAGATATAGGCCTAAAATTGCTGGGATCTGATTTCTCACCAGCCTTAAAGAGAGGGATAACTTTAGCACATTTCATTAGATCTGGAAACACTCCCTCATCAATACATTTGTTAAATATAATGGCCAGTTGTGGCGCAATGACAGTGATAATCGGTTTTATTATATATGTTGATATTCCCCAATAATCCTCTGTCTTTTTAATTTTAATTGAATTAAAAGTTTTTATAATACAATCACTACTGATATGTCTAAAATGAAAATCATTACTGCACTTATCAACACTTGACTCAAGGAGGGTCATTGCTAACCTAGAACAAGAATTAAGATTTCTAGTTGTTTCAAATGGTGCACTAGAAAAGAAATTTTGAAAAGTGTTTGCAACGGCATCATCTGTCCTAATAATCTTATTGTCTATTTTTAAAGAATATGTATGTTCATTTTGCTTTGCTTGCTTGCTGCTTATAAACAATACGGTAATCCGACAAAGAGTCATGCAACATTTTACCGTGTAATCACGTATTGTATATTGAACTAACGTCCAAAATTGGAGCTACTGAACTGAGGAGTAAGTGAGATTTGATTTTACAGAATCGCCCTACAGTTAAGATAACTTTCGCGACAGAGCAGTTTTCTTTCGAATATGTTCGTTGTTAAACCAATAATTATCTTCTATGTGTAAAAATATAACTTTAAGATAAAGCAGTTAATATTCAACAATATTCTGGATAATGCAATTCTTTTCTAAAACTTTTTCTCTCTTTCTTCCTTCATATTTTTAAAGCAATCTCTGTTCACCGTTATAATTTTTTGTATAGTAGTGTTTATGTATGATAAAATATCTAAATCTCCAAAAAGTGCACATGGCAGATAATGGTTTCACAGCGACGTATGCTTCATCCGTTGAAATATTTCACTAACTTCTCGGGTCAGTTAGCCGCTGGCCCACTTTATGATTTTTTTCTTTTACTTCCAGTTCAGCTTAGGAGGCAGTTGTTGACAGCCCAATAATTAAATAAAACGGCTGATCCTCGGATCGACACTTACTTCCCCAAGTTTTACGTTAGAGCTAACTTCGCAAAACTCGTAGAAGTGGCAACTTAATTTGATTAAGGCTTCCATATTGCTAGCCATTGCTTATATTGGACAATCTTTACGTTCAATTAATTTTGCGTTTAGTTAATAGGAATCTATTTTTAAATATCGAAATCTCGAAAGCAATATTTAGCGTCATATTTCGATAAAGCTAAAATGTCAAAACTTTTGTTTCCGATAGAAAGTTATACCTAGTTGTAATTACTTAAAAAAGCCCAAAAAACTCCAAAAGGTCTTACATTTGAAATACAGCGGAGGTTAAGACAGATTCAATATCATGTTCTGTAAAAATTACAACTAGCTATGGTTCATGAGAATCTTACTTAGGCTGGCTTTAGTGCTACACGGACGGTCCGTGCGGAGGACATACACAAGGGAGAAGAGTAGGGATACAAAGCTTTCCCCTCTGTCGGGTTGGGCATACAAAGGATACGTGTGTATAGGATTTGAAGATATATTATGCCATTGTTTATGTGTGAGTGTCGTAGTTACAGTTTATTTTGTATTCGTGTACTTTAAACTGCATTTGTGTGCAATTTCCCCCCTACAAATAATGACAGAATGATTTGAATAATATTATGTCGCTATGGCTACTCCCTTCCGTGTTGCTCTATGCCCGCGCCGTACCATGGATTTTCTATACTAGCTCCAGTTGACGCGACGGTCTTCCAAACGGACCGTCCGTGTAGTACTGAACCCAGCCTTACATCGCGCTGAAAACGGACAGGCGGACAGGCGCAGGGTATTATAGATTAGTATTAGGCGGATGATTGGTATAATTCCGGTACGGATTCTTTAAAAGATTGGAAGACAACATGGCCGATATTAAAGAAAATTTTTAGCTTTAGGCTAAACTCTTCATTCGTTTTTATAAAAAAGGCTTCCATGCTGTAGGTGTGAGAAAAACTTTGAATGTGTCTAGCTGTGAAAGTATTTTTTATAAACAAGATTTCACACGGATTCAATTTACTAATAAAATGAAAAATTAAAATGTTTTTGGTGATTGAGATTTCAGTACAAAAATACCATTCAGATTATAAAATTTTCTGGTGAGTTTTCGATAGATTTCAAAAACACTTATGAACACTTTAATGTTCTTACAAAATCGAAAACATCATAAACCAATCACCGAATCATTGGAGCCGCTGTTACATTCAAGTGACTTATTAAGATTTTATAGAGTTTATATTATTTTACTTTCAGACAGCAACTATAAGCAGCACATTGAAGGCTATATCTCATATGGGGGTCGATAAGGGAGGCATGGGTGGTACAGTTATTAATGTGTCCAGTCTTCTAGCATTCAATGCGAAGCCACATCTGCCCGTTTACAAGTCTACGAAAATTGCCGTGCTACAGTTCAGCAATTCCATCGGGGTAAGTATTGCTATTATATCCTACGAAAGAAACACAAGCTAGTCTATGAGCTTCAAATATAAAAAAAAACGTTCTGAATTCGAATACGACTCAATATTATCGCAATGTATTATTATTGGGGTGTAATCAAAGTGCAATAAATAAAATTAAAGAAGAGAATCTTATTTTCTTTTCTTTGGAAAATTATTCAAATTCGTATTTTTTTAATAATGCATTTCCGGTACTTGTGAACCTTATTTTGTTGCACAGTTTGAAAAAATGAAAGAATTCATAATAAACAATTATTTATTTTATTTATGTAGTCAATATCAATATTATTTGTATTTATTTCAACATATTTGTGTCTTAAGTTCTCACACTACTACAGGTATAGATGCACTGATTTATTTATTTATGACAATCGCATAATTTTCAGGATACGCCATCAAAATTATGTTTTTATTTACTTTGTAGGGCTACCTTCGAAAGACTTTTATTGAGCATTCGTATATTTCATTGAAAGATTTTTAAAACTCTGTTGTCTATGTATGAATTTTTAAGCTAACTTTAATAAATAATATTATAATAGCCTGAAAAGGATGCGAAACGTCATAAATAAATAAATCAGAGCATCTATACCGTTGAAACTGGTTTTGTTTATTTCAACAGTCAGAGCAATTCTACTCCAAGACCAAAGTCCGAGTCGTGACAGTATGCCTGGGACCTACGGACACTGCCATTCTACAAAAACCTAACTTACAGAAATTTGACAAAGACCACTCTCAGAGTTTGACCTCACGAGCCAAAGACAGACAAAGGTTTAAATATTTTTTTTTTACTTTAGGAGCACAAAATCCCTTACCGAGCTATTCGCTAACTTTTTTGACATTTACAGTGTGTAACTAAAGATAAAATTGTATATCCACCGATGCTTTTCGGAAGAAGTATCAGTGACATCACTAAGATACTTGTTCAACAAGATTATAACATAAAATAAAGCAGTGCATCACTAAATAGCTCGGTAACCGGTCACCATCTGTCAAAAGTAGTTAGCGAATAGGCCTACAGAGCAGCCGTGCTATTCTGTAAAAACAAACTTACTTTTTGCCGCGGGCTAGGGTATTTGACAAGTTTTAGAAAACGAACTCACGTTGTTGACTAATGTTTATGGGGTTCGTAAAAAGTGGATATTCATCATTCTGTTGTGTATTTCTGTAAAAATAACCAAATCAAAAACGCCATTTGCAAGTTGCCGCGAAAACTTTTTCTGGACAATATGGCGTCTTACTAGTGTGTGACGTCATACGACTGTTATTAAAACGTCAAACGATACAATGTTATGTCACTTTAACCGGAAGTTTACTTGCGTGTGACGTCATTTTAGGCTCCGCCAATCCCAAGCGTTTTGGGTCACGTGACAATAGATAAGAAATTATCTTTTTCGTGGGTTTTTAGAAAATTACGATTTTTTTTTATTAAAATCCCTGCCAATATTCATTCTGAACACAGATGCTAACAATTGGCACTTTTTTTTAATATTGTCAAATACCCTATTCGCTGGTGTGATCTGAAATTTATTTGGAATACGAATTACTACGCCAATTCCGCGGTGAAAAATGAATTTATTCTTACAGAATAGCACGGCAGATGTTAAGTTTAAGAGAAGTATTATTATTATATAAATTAAAAAGGGTTCAGTACCTATCTTCGCCATAATGCCATTTTCAACAAAATATTTATATTTAATTAAGTTGAGGTAATAATAATAGGAGTTCGAAAATAGTGATATTTAAAATATATTTTATATTAAATAAAATCAAATGGCAATATAAATACGGCGCATGATGCATAAAAGGAATTTCATAAGCTAGCACTCGAGACCGCAGGAAACAAATTTACAAAACAGAATTAAATTTCAGAGAGGCGCGGATGTTTTATATATACGAGGCGCCGTGCATATAAAATGCCAATATACATGCATAAAATATGAAATTTAACAGAATGTTCTAATCCTTTAAACATTTTTTGACGAAAAATACATTTCATTTAGATAAATTGTAACTTGGAAGATATAAAGGTAGATTTGTGTTTAGCTTGAACTTGTAAGATTTGCATCATAGTGTTTTGTTTGCATGTATGATTTATAGATATAAGTATACACTTTATATTATATAAGATATTTTTTAAGAAAACTCCTAAAAAAAACATTTAGCGTATAATAAATAATAAATAAATATTTCCAACACTCACACCAATTAGCCTAGCCCCAAAGTAAGCACTGTAAAGGCTTGTGTTATGGGATACTAGGGTAACGGATAGAATACATATATTGTACATATATAAGTATATTTATATTAAGTACATATTAAACATCCATGACTGGAGTACAAATGCTCGTATTCATCACACAAACATCTGCCCCCATCGGGATTCGAACCCGGGACCTCTCGAGTCGGCGACGCCATGAAACCCGGCGTATAAACCACTCGGCCACGGAGGTCGTCAAAATCGTCGTCGTATAATGAAAACCGCATGAAAATTCCCTTACTAGTTATTGAGATAATTGCGAGCATATTATAAGCAGAAAAACACGGCAGTGGACTTAATTTTATAATTATGTAGCTTGAGGTTTACTATCTTCTTTAATGTTTAAGGATGGCAAACCAGTATATGGCCCGTCTGATGGTAAGCGGCCACCATAGCCTAATGACGCTTGCAATACCCCTACCTGACCCCTTACCCCGTCACGGGGTATCTTACTCACAGACAGAAACACAACTCCACCAAAAGGAAGTGTTGTTTTACTGTGGTTTCCTGTAAGGTGGAAGTTACTTATCCAGTGAGGGCTACCGTTTTATGCCTCACCAGATGGCGCCACTGTTGAGTGAGGTCCTAAATTGTAACTTTTAAAGTTTATTAATACGCACATGAAATCAAAGGTTACATTTAGATCGTATTTTAACACAAAAGATCCATATCCTAAACATAATAGGCCACGCCACAGTGACGCGCAGTTCCGTTTTATTCGGAAAAAATGGGAACATAATCATTTTTCTAAGCTCAAATTTTTAATAACTGACATTCATTACCACATAACTCATATTTGCCATAATTAAGCCGAATTGTTACCAATTATACACAACATTATTTTAATTAGAAATAAACCCGCGTAGTCAACCAACAAGCAATAACATTTGACATTTCGGAGACCTCACGCTACACTAGCGCCTCTAGCGGCGGATTCATACGCGATAGCCCTCATTCGAATGGAAAACCCGCTATGCCTTACCTCTCTTAAATTATATCTGTATCTTAATTATATCAATTTTGATGCTCTATCATTCGTATAAGAGACTAGATTTTCTACTCATCAATTTGAACTTCTCAACTTTAATTCCGTGTAACTCTTAGTTTGTCAGTAAGAACCTTATACAAAGTATTAGAAAACTTTAGTTATATGCCATCGTTCTTAAAGATATGGCCTGACCAAGGGAAATGGATATTCATTTTTATATAATAAACTAGCTGTCCCAGCGAACTTTGTACCGCCATAAAATAACGGCTGGTGGTAGAAGGGTGAAAATTAAGGGTTGTATGTATTTATGTATGATTTATCATATAAAAATAAAAACAAAAAAAAATGGGGTGGAACACCCTTAACATATAGGGGGATGATAAATAGATGCGGTTCGATTCTCAGACCTACTGAATATGCATATAAAATTTCACGAATATCGGTCGAGCCGTTTCGGAGTAGTTCAATTACGCACACCATGACACGAGAATTTTTTATAAGATATTTATATTGTAAAGTATATAATAGGTACTTAAGCAGGTAAGTTAAGGTAATTTGGAAAGTAAATAGTTATTAAGTTTTTGTTATTTAAATGTTTCTATTATTTAATCAATAAAATTATAAACATTTATATTAATTTCAGCGTTCAATCAGCAGTTCATGGTATGCTCCAAGTAATTAACAACGGGACCAGTGGCTCAACTTGGATGGTGGCAGACGGCAAGCCACCTGTAGATATTAGTAAAAATATTGTCGAAGGCTTCACCGCTATGTTATCGGGCATTAATAAAAACGATTAAACAAACATATTTATTTATTCATAAGAAATTTTGTGTGTCACATTATAGCTAGAAGCTAATCACATTATAGCTAAGAAGCTGCTAGCAGCAATTTTTATATGATTTCATCGTCTGGCAGACGTTGAATAATATAAGAGTTCATTTTAAACAATTTCTGCCATTAATTAATTGCTGCAACATCAAATAGGATGTCGCGAAAATTTTTATTAAAAATAAGTGTTTAATCGACAGGCAGACTTTATTAATAATTAAAATAAATTGTATGAGATAAAAAAAAACTATTCTGCCACGATGATATATATATACAGAGTGTAAAAAATCCATGAGAAAGACTAACACTACGCATTCTGTACACCCATAATACGTGGGAATCATTTGTATTTTCAAATTAAAAAAAAACTTTTTTTTTCCAGTACGCAATGTACAGCGCGAGGCGCGCTTTTGTGGCGCTATGCAAATAATGTGCCTATGTGTATGTGTGTGCGTGTGTGTAAGTGCGTTGATAAAAAAAGTTTCTAAATATCGTTATCAAAATATTAATGTATAAATTTTGAAAAAAAAGTTGTGACTTTGACCTTCAATATCTCCATAACCATAAATTTCCCAGGTAAGGTCCAGAAAAAAAAGATCGTCATGGTGTGGAAAATACGTGGCCTTCGACTTCGTTAAAGGATTTTTTACACCCTGTATAATATAATTATATACTTTGTATGGTTGCAGAGATGTTTTTAATAATAAAAATAATAAATTTAAAGCTCGTTTTTGTCTTTAAGTTTAAGCTATGAGAAACCTAACAATGAAAAAGACAGAAAAGATTGAGACTGTCTTTTCGAAGTATTTTACAAATTTAAATAAATATTTTACTGGCTTAGGATAGCTGCAAGGGGGAACAAATACACACTCACTTATATTATTTGTGTATATTATATCTGTTCGTATGGAAAAAAACTAGAAAGAATAGGGGGTTCAAAACCGGGAATGAATGAATGAAACGGAGAGAAAGAGAGAAATATAGGTGCTCCAAATCACGTTAGATGCTCCAAACAAAATCTAGAGTTGTAGATGTCTGCCACATTTTTCTAACATTTACAAATACTCTATAAAACATCAACATAATTTTTGAAAAGACATTTTTTTTAATCATCATCATCAACCCATGCTCGGCCACTGCTGGACATAGGTCTCCCCTAATGCACGCCACTGCTCCCGTTTTTCTGCCAGTCTCATTTTTTATATTTCAATAACAATTTTTATAAAACTCCTTATCCTGACTTCTGCCAGCTTTAATTTCACTATCTATAAAATGTATATAACAGATTATGATTGAGGACAGAAACGATAATATAATTTATGATTTTTTTGAAGTTATACTTCTTTAGGCGCGTTATGAAAAAATGATTTGAGTGAAATTTTAAGATGCGCGCGCATCACTGTAACACAAAAAATTAACAGCATAAAGTTGGTCGCTTTAGCGAGTTAGTTAGGTAGTAGTTACTTTTGTGTTTACCGCACATTAAGAAAATCTACCAACAAAATAGAAATAGAATCTCTATTTTGTGTGTGCTAACGACTGCATTGTGAAGGCCTATCAAAAGTATTTATTAATCTGGAACAACGGAACCAAAGCGCGATTCAGGAGACTACAGCGCCATCTCTTGACCATTGGTGTAGTAGAACCAAAAACCACATCTTTATTTTTTGTAATAAAGTAACAAAAAGTATGTATTAATCTGGAACAACGGAACCAAAGCGCGATTCAGGAGACTACAGCGCCATCTCTTGACCATTGGTGTAGTAGAACCAAAAACCACATCTTTATTTTTTGTAATAAAGTAACAGTTATAGGTATTCATATTTATAATATTTATCCACATGTTTCTAGTTTGTATATTCGGAATACGTGTTTGAGTTTCATACAAGTGCAAATCACATATGTTCTAATAAATTATATTCAGTAGCGATTTTAATTGAATATTTTGATTATTTATTTATTTTTTCAAATTAAAACTGAACTTTATTGACTGTGTCCTTTTCCAGACTTTTTATTAATTTATTGTAATTAATTATTTACATGCAATTAAAAACTAATTTTAAACGATGCCAAAGAAGGATAACTTCTCACGCGCCTACATTACAGTACACGCACCCATTTTTTTTTTGAAGCTTGCCACTTATTTTTTCTAATTAACATAAAATCAGACTACATTACGACGACGAAATCTATGAATACCTAAATTATCACAAGCTCCCTAGCAATAATATGTATCAGCAGAGGCTTTTAATACTGCATTGGCTATTGTATGGATAGATGGTGTATGGATAATCCATACAATTTGATGTCTATATAAGATATTCGCGGACGAACCTTTCTGGCATGCTCTAAATGTAAATTAGATTAAGAAAACGGTTTCTGGACGCTGCACCAGACTTAAAAAACCGAACGAAAGATATTTTTTTCCTCATGTATAATGTGGTTTATGAGTTAAATATATGCCTCATGAAGATATCAAAGCCATTTACTAAACAAAAAATAAAAACATGTGTATTTGTAATTCCACACTACAGTTTTCAGCCTCACCGCGTAAAATTAATGCCTGGGAAAATCACCCATATGTAAAGCAAGCAGGACAGCAAGGCATTACCAGTAAATTTAAAATACTGCGCACAGTGAATCTAATAACCACAGTGCCATAAAACGTAGTGGAAGCAGATTGCGGTGGCAGTGTCATAATCGCCTTATGCTTAAAGATACTTGTTACGCTACTATAATAGGCTTCCCAGGGCTTACAATTCACGCAAACCAGAAACTAGTATTTTTTATATATGTGTATGTGACAAACAAGCATATAATTCGCTAGATCATAAAATATGGTTGTCATAAGAACCTGCTAGAGCAACACACTAGCGTTGCTTACTTAGACCCCATACTCATCCCATGGACCCTTCGAAACCTTACTTTCTGATTGAACACTACCAACAACAGAGTGGCGTTTCACTGTGGTCTTCTGTACCCCTAGTACGAACCAATATCGACTTCGAATAGTTTGCGAGTACAAAAAGTCACTGTTAAATGTGTACTGATTTTAAGTTCTCGTTACGTCCGTTGTGGCGCTGCTGTTCAAGTTTTCATACAAAATTTGGCAATGAAATTTCGTACTCGCAAACGTTACGAATGCGATATTACTTCGTGCTAAGGGTACTGAAAGGTAGAGGTTATTTTCTTATGCAGCCGCATTGGCGCTCCATTTAGAGCACAAAATCCGATTATGCCTCACCCTAACCTCTCAAAGAAACAACAAATTTTGTTATATTTATAGTTCGACACTATTTGAAATGTAAAAATGATAAAATTGGGTGCTACAAACCCAATACGCGGTAAGTTTTACTCTGTTCCGTACGTGACGTATTTTGTAAATTACTGTTTATTCATCTACGGGATTATATCTACATATTTTTTTTTATCTTTATACTTATTTTGTTACAGTTTTATAGTTATACTATAAAATCTACACCTGGATCGCAAGTCCTGGGAACTGCTGAGAGTTTCTGTTTCTCCCACACGATGGACCTGGCACTCGCATGGTGAATCCATGGACTCCTAAGAAGTTCGTCTCTACAATATCAAGCTTATTATTAGAGTATTATTTATTTGAACCCGACGACGACCATCGACGACGGCTACCGTCGCAACTAAAGTCGCAGCTTAAGTCGTCACAAATACTTAAGATTAGAAAGGGTGGGGTATGGAGCGGCAAACTACTTAACCAAAACCACAGACAAATAAATTTGCTCAGTAGACTTCTTTGCATATAAAATGGCTACTGCGCAAGCTTGTCTATGGTCGATGCTCAAGAAGTTCACCGGGTTGCATACTTTGTTGCGTCTTGCTACAAAATCCACTGTCTCATTTTATAAGTAATCAGTAATAAAATCCTTGGTGATGAAAATCAAGTGCAATAGGGACAAAGAAATTTATAAAATTTCCGAGCTATCCGTCCATTGTTATTGGACTAGCGAACATGACAAATTGGTGTGATCAATAAAGTGTCCGATTCCAATTTCTCTTTCGCGCGACCTGCGCCTTTGATCAATTTGTTTCACCTCGCAATAGTTGTTAACAACGAACGAGAGAATAATTAAATTTAAGCACTTGGTAGTTGTTATAAAAGAGTTAGGTACGTCAGATAATTTATTTGAGAAATGCGAGAGGTTGATTAGAATTTTTATGTGGATTTGACCGTTGACTTTTTTAATACCCGTTTGAATTTTATAATAAATCTAATCAGGATTTGTTAGATTCGCATTGACAAGGATTTTGATCATTTCATCAACATCATTTGGATGATATTCAGGGTCTTTAATGATATCAGTTATTAAGGAACTCCGAAAGGTGGCTCTTGGAACTTTGCGACATAACTACGTAACTCCTTAGAGACTGGGATTGTTTAATTCATCTTAACTAATTGGTTATTTATGCTTAGATGAAAAATAAAAAATTACTAAACTATTAAAAATTCAGCCCCTCATATTTTGGGTACTTAACAGACTCAAGAGACAGAAAAAAATGAACTTTGTTAATTTTTCATTAATTGTCCGGTTTTTTTTATTATTTTTTATAATAGAGACGATATAATAAAAATTGAAACAGATCAATTTTGTATCTTTTTTTGAATGATCGATGTAAGTAAAACAAAAGCGTTTTGTTCATGTTTGTATTCCAATGTCAATTATGTTCTCAAGAAATGGCTTTAGCAAAATGCGACAAGCTTTTCCAATGACATATTTTTTGTCTGATTTATGAGGAAACGATGAGAAAGTAATCAAATCTATTCTTGGAGTTGATTAATATACTTTTGATGCAATAACTAGATTGGTTGTCACTGTTATGATCGGATAAATAATTAATAAGTTACAATGTGACTGATGTATATTGTCACTATTATAAATGAATAACTATGTAGATAAGATATACTTATAAATAGGACCGAATAAATAAAACTAGTTTTATTATTATTTATTATTATTTATTTATTGACGTTTCGCAACCTTTTCAGGTCTGCATCGTCAGAATAATGATTTTTGTACAAACAAATTACCCTTAATTTGCATCAGCAAATTGTAATATTTGCAAAAGGAAAATGTAGACTGAGGAGTAATATTTGTGTAGAAGTCTGTCTATTTGTATTTTAGATGTTTTGCGATCCTAAAGGTAAATATGAACACATAATGTGATGTAACATTAAGCTTGGTAAGTAAGTTTAAGTCAATACTGTGTCAGGAAAGCTCTAATAATGATCTGTGCGGGGTAATATTTGCTTAGGCACAGAGTCGCACTGCTGCAGTGTATAAATTTTACTTCTAAATGTAGCGTAGTCGTACACGAACCTAATAAAAGTTTCAGATCACGCTGTGGCTTGAAAAGGACATCGACGAAATCGGCCCTATCATGCCCAAAAGAATGTCCTTCACTATTATTTTTCTATTATTTTTTTAACTTATTAGCAATTAATCATAGTTAACGGACAATCTGTTTTAAATAAATAAAAAATAAAAGTTCTGTTACTAGATACTACAGTCTGTTCATCCAACTTGGCACTCCTTTTTATTGAAAATACAGCATTAAAAATCAACTGATAACTGGATTCAATAGGTTTCAGTCTATAATAACGATTTATTTTAATAGTTTATTGGCTTCGTTAATATTTTATTATTAAATGGGTGATTCTTTTAAAAAGTTGTGCCAAGATTGTTTACCTTAA